TACACAAACAGTACCGTTAAGTAGCGAGGATATAGCCCGTGCTACAAAAAAAGATGTCATATTGTGTAAAGTTTTAGATCTAACTTTGACATGAACTTTCTGTTGAAAGTAATTGCATATTGTTAGGTAATAAAGTAGTTGTGCCAAGTGTATTAAGTGTATGAACAACATACTGGTATTGTTAGGACCAAAATGTTAATTCGTTCCTACTGCTGGTGGCCAGGAATAGGCGAGGATATTGAAAAACTAATAAACAGTTGCATAATTTGTCAGGAACACCAAAATTTTTCTAATAAAAATATTAATTTTCCGTGGCCTGCGGCACCTAGTAATTTTTATAGAGTAAACATTGATTTTTTTGTTTTTCCAATAAAATCTGTTTAGTAATGGTGGATAATCGTTCTAAATGGATAGATGTTAAGTTAATGGATAGCGGAACAAACGCAAAAGAAACGATTTTAAAATTAAAGGAAGTATTTTTAGCTCGTCCGAGTTTGTAAGTTTTTGCCAGGCAAATGGTATTAGACCGGTTAAATCACCACCTTATCATCCGCAAAGTAATGGTAGTGCGGAAAGAGCAGTGCAAACTGTAAAAAATGTTTAAAAAAGTATTTTGAGGATAAAACAAACATGAATGATTTTCAGTTAAGGAGTCATTTGGCAAACTTATTGTTTACCTATAGAAACACACCCACTACGGTTACAAATATGTCTCCTGCAGAATGTATATTTAAGATAAAGCCTAGAACAAGGTTCGATTTGCTTAAACCTTCTTCTAATGTCAATAAAAATAATTTAAATAGTGGTACAAGAAATTGTAAACTATTTGCTGTAAATGAACAGGTTTATGTTAAAAATGTTATAACTAAGAAATGGGAATTGGGAAAGGTCTTAAGATATTGAGTAGCACTACTTACCTTATTAATATAGGGGGAGTTATAAAACATATGCATGTTTCTAATCTGCGCTCATTGGGCGAGAATCTGGTCCAATTGCCAAAAGTAATGGTAGAGGATATGTGTAAAGAGGCTAAACCGAAGAGATTAAAAGACTCTGTCGACATTTCTTTGGTTAGTGAAAGTAAAACAGGCTTCAAAGATTCGGTGGAAGCCGATAATGACAATAGCAAAAGTGTCGTAGATTGTAAGGTAGACGTTAAGGATAAACAGAATACTATTACTAGGTCCGGCAGAATTGTAAAAAAGCCTGATAGGTCAAATTTGTAAAAATTGTTACAAATTTTTATTTAAGAAGGGGAAAAATGTAATATATTTAAGTTATAATGAAATGTATTTAAGTTTCGCGCCTAAGGGTTAAGTTGGTAACAGTTAGGTTAGTAACAAGGGATAGAGATGGCGGCAGTTCCTTTTGGGTTTTGGGCTATGGAATTTTTGGGATGTTAAGAAGCTGTTGTTGAGTTAATAAATATGTTACAAGTGATATAGGCCTTTCACTAAAACATAACAGTATGGAAGGAATTCGACCACTTGTCTTTGAATCGCAGTAGCGATAACATGTACCTATGTAACAAAATTGATGTAAAAGTGTGAACCAAATTAAATGTGAAATTTACCAAAAATAAGTAGTTTAACTGTTAAAACTAAAGTGCCTACCACCCATACACAACAATTGCGTACCTAAACGACTACGGTAAATACTGCTTTTGGGCAGGATTGGAAACAATACTAGCCGCCTCAGACATCTTCAGCATCGCAATAGAAATTTACTGAACTATCTATTGATGGTTTTCGGCCTCAAGACTGAAGACACATGTGCAGGAACAATCTTACTCGGACACGAACAATAACGACCAAGACGTAGGCTCCTGCAGCAAAATAACAACTCCCGAACTCCATACAGTAATCCCAAATGTTTGAAGTAATACTAACTGCCCGGCCTGGGGGGGTACCGCGTCGTACTTAGATTTGACCCTACTGGGCGTATAGCATCGGCTCGGCGAACCCGGGAAAGGCTACTAAAACTATTGGCATTTCGCTCTCGAGCCCTAATTAGGGGACAGTACGGGACGCAATGGACATTCGTAACCAGCAAACACGGGTGAAACCGCGCAGTTGCTGGTGGCGAAAGAAAATCGGTGCAAGGAAACAGAGACCTATGCCCGGGAGCGATGAGGCAATGGGGCCGGTTATACGTCTATTATACTTATACTCATACTCATCTGCCAAAAGTAAACCAAGCGCTCTGAGCTTTATTTGACAATTTTTGGCCTATCTGAAGTAATTGTTTAGAAAATTGGACTAGTACAAATTGCAGCGAATATGGTACTAGTGCTACCAGGTAAATATTTTTCAATTTATCAATTTTTTAATTATTGGTTCGATAAAATTGTCCTCCGAATACAACTCGCAATTAAAAATGTATGTCGAATATTTTAAGGTGTGTAATAGCAAATATTGTTTGTGGTTGCAAATAGTACTCGTGGTAATTAATTAGGGGGCATCCATTAATTATGTGAGGCCATTTTGATTTTTTAGTACTAATTACTAAACAGTTCTCTATACATGGTTAGTAATTGCTATAAAAGTCAGCCACTTTTTTTGTAAAACCAGAACAACTTTTTTAATACTATACTAACTTTATAACAATCATTACTAACCGTTTGTGATTATTAGTATTAGTAATGTACTGTCTGTCCACTCTAAGTTGGCTGAACTAAGGAATTTTGTTGTTTAGATATTAAAGAATTGTCGTACTGTGTGCTTTTAAAACAGATTTAATATTATAAATAATACTAGTATATAATATGTACTAGTATTATTTATAATATAAAATCTGTTTTAAAAGCACACAGTACGACAATTCTTTAATATATAAACTACAAAATTCCTTAGTTCCGCCAACTTAGAGTGGACAGACAGTATTATGTATATTTTTTATTTTACCCTCTTTTCCACCACTTTACCCCTAGGGGATCCAATCAAATATATAAATCAATTATAAATAGAATACACTAAAAATTGTAATCCACGAACAAATAATAATAATAATAATATTTATTCCCTTTAAAAAATTTTTTTCACAAAAAATTTAATATAGTATAAACAAGTAAATATGCAAAAAGCACTTAAATAAACAGCAAGTGTCTATTTGTATGTGCAATAAAAATTTAAAATAAAGTTTAAAATAAAATTCCACATATAGAAAAACCATTATAAAAATATCATTTAACATTACAATTAAGATAACAATACAAGTAAGGGATAATAGATATTAAAATATTAGATATTATACACTCACAGGCAAAATAATCGATCCACACAAATTTTCGATGAATTTCAATCGCAAATAACTTTTTTATTTGATTTCGGATTTAAACAAATATTAAAGAATATTGTAGATACATTAATGGAGAATCGCTCACATTTTAAAAATTACTAAAAAATACACGTATGTTTATAATATACAGGTTTAAACAAAAATATGTTTTTTACCATAAGTTTAAGACACTCTATATTGTTCTAAATTAAGTTTTAATTATCAAGTTACATCTATTTTTAACTGTTATGTTTTTGGTTCACCTTGATATATTTATTTTTGTGAAAAATATGGATTTAAAAAAAAACCTTGCAATTTCCAATATTTTTCCTGTATGAAGAACTAAGGTTGCTAAGAAAATAATTCTAATTACTTATTTTAGCTCCTTTGCCAACCTCGCAAATTTATTAAAAATAAAATAAATTTATAATTGAATTTTGGAACCAAATAATTATACATATTTACAGGAAACCCAAAAAATTTAAAAAAGGATTAGTTCCGCTATTTAAAAAATTGTATGTCGCTTTGGATTGCAACAGCAATTTATAGATCAGTAAACTGCTACATTAAAATATATATATATATATATATATATATAGATATAGTATACGTAATATGTAATAATATGTAATATTTATAATATTATTATAATAGTCCTTTTATGGTTAATTTCTAAAGCCGCCGTATATTTATAAAAATATATTGTACGCGCGTTGTCGGGCTCAGCAGTCTTGCCAAGTTTAGGGGCTAATAACGATACGTTAATATAAATGTATAAATATATACTCAGAAGCGCCCCCTACAGTGAAATTCTCCAAACTTTTTGTATAAATAAATGCATAAATAGTAGTAGTATAGTATATATAATAAATTGTATTCATCAGTAAAACAAAATTACGTAAATTTATGTATCAATTATATTTTTATAGTTTATAAACTATTATAATATGTATCATGAATAGGCAATTATAAATATTATATAAATATTAACGAAAAAAATATTTTTCAACATCACTATTCGTGCATAAAAGTACTTACGGGTACGTACTAATCGTAATTATACGAATACTGTTTTTTGTACTCGTACCCAGACGTAGTACTGTCCTACATGTCAAGTGAATATTGTCAACCTATTCAGTCGTTTTAAATTTACCGTTCGTATCGGTATTGGCATTGTTGAAATCTATACGTATCGTATAGACCATCTTTTCTTAACCTCGGGTCGCGACCCAAATTTGGGTCGCGGGCCATATCGAGATGGGTCGCGGGACTTGCGGGATTTGTGTTAGTTGATTCCTAAAAATTTTTTTAACTTACTTTAAATAAAGAAAATGTAGAAAATTGATGATTTTATTTTTTATCGGGTCGCGAGCTTCTAAAATTTTTGAATTGTGGGTCGCCAGCCAAAAAGGTTAAGAACCGCTGGTATAGACCAAAACGCATATTGATGCATCCCCAATTTTAAGTATAAAAAAATTACAAGAATTGTTTGTGACACTTAGTTTTTGACTTATTTAAGTATAAAAAATTAACAACTCTGTGTGTCTAATAGGTCTTAGAATATTACATATTATGGAAACAATTTAAATAAGGGACTTAGTAGGCAGCTGTATTTTGTGCCGCAGTCAAAACTTTAAATCATAACTTTTTATTTATATATAGTCAGGACGCATTATTGGAAAATGGTTTTATATTTTTTTATATAAAATTATATTATGTTTTAGGATTTAAAGTGTGTAATTTTAATAACCAAAGGGTTTTTACTCCACAAGAAGCAATGCATTTTTTAAATATGGGAAATACCAATCGACACACTGGAGAAACAAAACAAAACACAAAAAGTTCGAGATCACACGCAATATTTACTATACATTGCAATTCCTTTAATGGGTAAGTCTTTCTATTTTGCCAAACATTTTTAAAGGACAAAACAAATAATTCATGTATAGCTGATATAGGTACCGTTACTTTTGTAGTTGTTTTCAAAAAATAAATTTTATTTTTCTTTGCCAATTTTAATTTTACAAAAATTGCTTAAGATAGGTGTTTTTACTAAAAAATTCTTTTGCTGATTTTTAAGGTAGTATCTCCACTTGAAGAGATTCCATAGAATGTCTTTAAAATTTTATATATGATTTTGTGAGGCATCAAATACTTTCACAAATAGTTTTAGATTTTTTGACAGCACAGATTCCAAGAATAGGATATTCTGTAACAAGAGCGGAATATGCAATTCCAAATGTGTTTCAGGTTATACTTCTCTACGTTCCTAAAATATACCATGGAGAAATAATTTAATTGAGAGAAAGTGAGGTTGGATCGGTCTAAAAGTTGTTAGATATTAAACACAGATATGGCGCCACCATTGTTTATTCCACACATACTTCCACAAATATACAAATCATTCCTAACTGAGACTTTCCTTTCGTTCTCGTGGGGTTAAAGTAGTGTAAATGAAAATACCCGTTTTATTGTATTGAGGCCCATACGTGATGGCATTGCCGGTTAAAAAACATTTTTGTCCCTGTTTGGAAAGTTTAAATTGTATGAAAAAAGCATTTATATAATAAACACACAAAATGATGCTATTTTAGATTTTATAATGGCATTTTTATAAGGGCAAGAATTTGGCAACGTCGTATTTCGACCACGATAGCCAAAAGCCAAACCACAAAAATGTATGTAAGCTTAAGGGGTTACATACATTTGTGCTGGGTCAAAAAAAAATCGATTTTTTGTTTATTATATTTTCTTACAACATATACTTTTAAGAATGTATACTCAAAATTTTATTAAGATCAGAGCACTAGAACTGTTATATCAATTTATAGCGCGCTACCTCACGAAAATTTAAGGGCAGATTGAATGAACTTAAAACTTTAAACGCGTTTATCTCGGAATCGTATTTTTTGCCGTGAGCACGATTTCTCGAAAACCAATTTACCGATCGCTCTGAAATTTGGGAGGGATTTTTATTTGGATGATAATTTTTATTTTTTTCGGCCGGAAAATCACCGCCATTTGAGTGAATATTTTTTTTTTGCAAAACCCTTCGTTCACGCATAAAATTTGTTGTACAAATGCTTTAAAACATACCCTATTCGATGCTTAATAGTTCGTTTCAATATAATTATTATTATATACCAAAAAAATCACCAAAAACCGTAGGTATGTAACCCCTTAACCTAGGCGATATAAACAAATAATTTGGAAAAATTAGATATAACCTAAATTTCATTTAGTTGACAAATCGTATTATACGTGAACGCATTAATATGTCTATGGTATCAGGCCATTTAATTAAAATTTTGATGATACTCCAAAATTCTTGTATTATATTGTTCTTTAAATTATTTAGAATATATCTGATCAGTTTAAAAAATCAGTTTACGTGATCAATTTTTTAAAAAATGGATTTGAATGAAAAAGTCATGATTCTGGGGAGAAATATTTAATGCAATAAATAAAAAAAATAAGGAAAATTTTCTTCACTTTTTTAAATTACAAATAAATTATAGGTACCTATTAAATAAATTTTATAAAAGTTGTTAATATAATAAAACTTTCGAACGTAACAATTTAGTTTTAGACATTCTTGAGCAATAATTTACATGAGTTTATTTTTTTTCAACATTACATTGTTGAGCCCATTTTGTAGCAGTATTAGGATTACATTAATGTAAATGAGTATAAAGTTTGTTAACGCAACCTAGTAAAAGGTGCAGCTCTAGGGAGGCATAACATCTAGAATCAATATATCATCGCTGGAACAATACAAGGAAGGGTGAATGCAATTTTTAAAGTCTTTCTTTTTGACACTTCCCTTATCGTACCAGTTGTTATAATTTTTAAGACAGCTTTCGGTCGTTCTTAAATTACCACACTAAGCTAGATTATCTTTGCTAACATCACACCAAATAGACGGATAATAACTTGCATTACTTGATAAACCAGTAATTATATTTGAAAGTTTCAAATCAGTTGTTATTGTTGCGGGATATTCATTTAAACAATTATTTATTTTCAACATTGACCAAATATTTGCAACATTATTGTAATTTTCTTGAATATTGGGAACAAGAGCAATAATAAATATCTTTTTTACTCCGGTGTCCTTCCACTTCGAGAATTCAAATGTTCAGTTTCTTTTTCATTGTTCAAATTTTGTTAAACATTATTGGTTGAGTTGAATTTGTGACTAATGCCTCTACATATTAGTGGCGGCTGGTGGATGGTATACCGATATCTCAATTATTAGATATGGGACCCACACCAAATTTATATGAATTTATAATGACATTAAATAAACGAAAAAACGAAATAAGATAACTTTTTGCTCGGCCGTACCGGCCCCATGGCGCCCCCAATAAATATAATATAAATTTAATTGGTGCAATTTATTATTTAGCATAGTTTATCGACAAAAATTTAAATTAAATTTTAAATTTGTCGATAAACTATATAGATAACATTTATGACTATATAGATAACATTTATGACTCATTCACTCAGTAATAATCATCGCCTGAGCTCACTATGACATCAAATGCATTTCTGTGAAATCACCTGGACCTTACCTGGAGCTTATTAGCTGAATCATTGCTGAGCTAATCCTGATTTTTTGATAAGATCATTTGTGAAATTAATTTCACAAATGATCTCATCAAGAACTAGTTAACTCAGGATGAGCTCAGCAATAATTTAGCTTATGAGCTCCAGGTGAGGTCCAGGTGATTTCACAGAAATGCATTTGATGTCATAGTGCTATAATTTCAATTTATAACCTTAAGGTTTTTCTCTGAACTATGCAAGTGCATAACAGTGTTGCCATGGTATAAGAGCTGTGCGGTACTCGAGTACTTGTACTCAAATTTTGTACTTTAAGTACTTTTTATGTACTCGGTACTCAGTCCAGAGTACATTTCAAAAAAAGTTCTTGTATTTGTACTTATTTAATTTAAAAATGTAAAAATGGACACGAGTACATTGGTTGTCTCGAGTACATTTTTTGTACTCGAGTACATTTGATGTACTCGAGTACTTTTGTTGTACTCGAGTACATTTAATGTACTGGAGTACTTTTTGTACTCGGCATCTTTGTGTTAAGTTAACATAACCACTACTATAGTGGCACTATATATTCAAATTTATCGCCATAATTATAATGCTTTAGCAGCTAAAGTTTAACGGTTGGGCAATATTCGGAATAAATCCTCGATATAGGCAAGTTGGTAAAATATCATTGTGGTGCCCTACTTTATAGAGATATTACATATTACAAGAGGTAGTGCCCTTTTTTATCTCTGATCGTGCATAAGTCATAATGTCATATGTAACGTTTTTTTTTTAAAAATTTTAGATTATTCTGCAATACAGAATGTGCATTAGTATTATTTTAAGTGATTTGGTTTTTGTTATACTGGGGTAAGTAGGATTTTAAATATTATATTGTATTTGATTACCTACTCGATTAAGTTTTTGTTATATTTAGTACGCTTAAAAAATTAGGTTATATTTTTGCATTCAATCTTGTTTTTTTTGCAGTCATAAATGCATGTTACTTTAATTTAATTTCGTGCTTGCAGTTAAATAATGTTTAAGCTATTTATTAAATAAAATATATAATAATTTACTTGCATGAATAGGTATACCTATAGGTAATAATACCTGTAAATGTAATGTAAAAGAATAGTTAATCTATTTTAATATTATTTTTTTCTGTTTAAAATCGAAATAATTGGTTATTTGGAAAAAAATATTCAGAACATAAATAAATACGTGTATTAAAGAAATAATAAAAAAGCAGTTTTTTTTTAATATTCCTAAGTGACCTAAACCTGATATTTTGTTATGTTTAACTTTTAACAACTTTTTTTGCTAGATACTGAAACCTAAATTACATTTTAAGAGTTTTTGGAAAAAGTACTTTGTACTTGTACTTGTGAGTAGGTACTTTTGGATTTTTTTGTACTTTGTATTTAAGTACTTGTACTTTTACTCGAGTACTTTTTTCTTGTACTCCACTTTTGTTTGCGGTTCCAAGAATAGGGTTTTAAAAACAATTATTTTCTACACAGGGACTTTATTGTTTAAGTGTGAATTACATAAAGACAATCTTATTATTACATTTGTTTTATTATCTTTAATGCTCAGCCTGCATATTCTCAGGTTACACCGAGATGGGACGTTCATAACTCCTTTGGCCTCACTTGAGAACTATGGGGTTGATACCAGAGTTCGATAATTCTACATCTATGGTTGGTCGACATCCTTGGATTGTTGACGATGATCCTCTGAGTAGAATACCCTTTTTTTAAATATAAAGATAAGCAAAAATGCAAAAAATAGCGATTAGGACATATAATAAAACCGTATATGCATTAACTCTATGGAAATGAATTGGAGCGTTATCTAAATCACTAATTTAAAGTCTTTGTTTATTTAATGCACTATGAATAGTTTTTATATCATTTAAATCTAAATTTTCAAGTTGTATTTTATTTTCTTTAATGTCGTTTTCTTTATAAGTCTTTGTAAACTGTAGATGGGGCAGATCAATATTTTTTAAAATTACATTGGAATCGGAGTAACCTTTTAAAACAACATCGTTTATTTGCACTTCACATTTGTCTTTAAGTTCTAATACCTAACTCCGATTATTGGAAATAAGTCCTTATTATCCGCACAATTAATTCTAGCTTCTAAAGATGTGGGGCTAATGATGATCCATTGCTTGTTTCCTAGATTTTGAACCATACGAGAGGATACAGCTACTGGAACTTGTTGGCAATTGCTGGTATTACTTAAATATTGTAATAGTTGAACTTCACATGGAGACTTATAGGAAATGTTTAGAACATCAGTATTTCGGCATAGGTATTCTTCTGATT